GCTTAAATAAAGAAAATAAGAATAAAGAATTGGAGAAATAGGAGAAGGAACACAATTTAGAATAAAGGAGGGAGAAAAGAAATGAGAAGAAAAGAAAAAAATTGAAAATGAGAAGACAGCAGATAATCTAAATTTAGGAAGTGAAACTAGAAATTAGATGAAAAAGAAGAGAGAAAGAGAAGAGAGAAAAAAACTGAGTGGTGAAAAAAAAAGAGAAAGGAAAATTGAACAGCAGCAGGGAAGAGGAAAATTAGATATGTGAACAAAACAACAGAGACTAGAGTAATTACAAATCAATATAGCAGAGAGATAAAGCAGATAAATTTTAAAAGGGGTGGGGAGAGAAAGGAAAGAATCAAGAAGAATAAAAAGAATCAAGAAGAATAAAAACAGGAGTAAAAAAGAGAAGAGAGGAAGGAAAAGGTTGGGGGTGGGGTGGAGTGTCATTCGTTCCAGCTGAGTTTTAATGCCCCATGGGAGCTGGCTTAGGACCCTACTCTTTTGTTCTGTCTGCCAATTCTGAGTCCCTGTTAGGTACTTAGGTTCTAACTACTGTTAGGTACTGTCTGTTGGCTTTTAGCAACCCACTTGAAGTTCCAAATGATCCACCAGCCATGGCTGGTGTCTGTCTCCACAGGCCTTGGCTGTAAGCAGGAGGGGACAGTCTGCCCTCGAGAGTAGGTTAGTTAGCTGTGCAGGGCCAGGGCTGGTTCAGCACACTTCCCCCAATTCCCTGAGTTCCCACCTCTGCCCACCTTGGCCTGTTGGCCAGCTGTCAATCTTAATCACTCTACAGTCTGTTCTGACAGCGCTTTGGGTAGGTAGGTGGTCTTTTGCTCAGGGAATATGATGAGTGTGTTTTCCTGTTCCAGAGCTACTCTCCCCTGAGTGGCCAACATATTATTCTGCCCTTGGCTGGACAGAGACCCTTGTATGGAGACCAATGTGGTCAACTGGGACCCTGAGTTTTTATCAGTATAGTTCCTAGAATAGTGGGACAGATGGCCCCTCCTCCAACCTGCCCACTGAGGGCTCCTTGAGACTGTTCTACCCTTAAACTTGGCCTCTGCCTGTTTCCTCAGTAAAGCCCAAAATTTGGGGTGAAGCAGGCTGTATCACCAAGCACAAGGTATTACTTCTTTTTTTTTTTTACCTGCCCTCTGAGTGTTGGGAGCAGTTAACTCTTCCCAGAAAATATGGCCATTTTGGAGGTGTGCGAAGGATCCAATGTAGGACTCCTGGCTACTGCTTTTTCAAGTCTCCCTGCACTGCTTCCCACCCCAGCCTCTCCTCAAGCACCTCAAGTCCTTGCCTTCCTCTCTGTGCCAATGCCTCGGGTGTGTAGTTGCAAATGAAAACTTCTGTGCTCTGGGTTTGGAAATTTTTTTCTTTTTTAAGCACAAAACTACCTCAGAGGGAAGATAGAGGAGGGTGGGGATAAGGGGAAGAGATCAACCAAAGGTCTTGTATGCATGCATATAAGCCTAACCAATGGATATAGACTCCAGGAGGGTGAGGGCATGAGTGTGTAGTGGGGGAGGAGGCGGGGAAAGAATGGTGGGATAAGGACACATATGTAATACCTTAATCAATGAAGAAAAAATAAAAAGCAACAGAACTGCCACATTCTCTCCCACTGGTTCGGTCTGCTGGGCATGGACTCTGCTACTGCCAGCAACCCTGCTACCTTTCATAGCTGATTGGATGAGATGTACCCTGTGGGTCACACCACAGGTGTGTGGAGCCCAGCTTGCACTCCTGTCTCCTATTTTCTTAGGGAACAGTTCTCCCCACAGCATAGTACTCCCTTCTCTCTCAGCTCCCTCCTCTCACAACATCCCCCATCCTACCTGTCTCCAGGTTCTTCCTGTTATAAGTCACATCCTCAGCTGGACCTCAGTTAGTACTTATGGGTGAATGTTCTAATTTAGTTGTATTTCCAGGCTGGCCCTGGGGTGAGGTGTCCAACAGATCTGCCTATTCGGCAGCCATTTCTCCTCCTCTCTATACTATAGTCCTTCTGATCTCACCACCCTCTCCAGTTGGACATCCTAGGGGACCATGCCCCAGGGTGGCTGCTCAGAGAACAGCTGGCCTGGCCCATCCGCTAACCAGAGACCCAGGAGGAGCAGGCCTGCACTCATCACCAGGCTCGGCTCACTTTGCAGGGGAGCCAGGAAATGGCTTCAGGCATCCTCAGGTAGATGGGGCCAGCAGTGGTCAGGCAGAACCAGGACTCACCCAGAGAGAGGAGCAAGAGGCTGAGCTGGGAATTCTGGAAGCCCTAAGCAGGGTCCACAGGCCCGCCCTGCTGGAACAGAAGAGCCTGAATCCAGGTGTCATCGGGGACCATTGCACCAGGCTCAGTCCTCTCCTGAGGAGATCAACCCAGATGCCATGGGGGCCCATATCCGTGTGGGGCTGAAGATGGAGGCTGAGCCCCTCTGACCAGGCCCACAGGTCTGTGTCCCTGGTGGGAGAACAAGGAGCCAGATGACAGACACGCCTGCCACTCTTCACCCATCAGTCACTGTGCCTGCTCTAGGAACCCAGCCCTGGCCCACACTGGCCTTGCTCACAAGTGTATTCTCATCACTCCCTGCCAGTCCAGGAGATACCTTCAGGGAGGTCAGAAGGGACATCTTCACACCCCAAGGCTACATGGCTGAATGTGACATCCATAGCCCCACTGCCCTCATGGCCTCGCATCCACTGACCTGGCCTGTCTGACATCATTTTCACATTCCGGGCCCCGGCCTAAAAGCCTTGTCCACGAGGGGTCAGGCTCAGGGCTGGTTCTCAGTCCCTTTCCATGGGCTGGAGTCTCAGAAGTCGTGTGGATGGGAGAGCGCTCTCAGCAGAGTCACCGGGATCCAAGGAGAGCTCAGCCAACAGCACCCCCGGGGGAGTCAGGATCAAGGCCACCAAAACAAGCCTGCTCAGGCCCACAGCACCTCTCCCACACATGGTTCCAGGGAGGCCCAGCCTGGCCTTTGCTGCCCCTGCCCTAGCTGGGAGCTGCCCAGGGAGGAGGTGATGGTAGAGAGAGTCCGAGGGAGGAAGTAGGCCGCTTCTGGCCACATCTGAACAACAGAGTGTCTAGGCCACCATGCTTACCCACAGGACACCTCCATGTGAACTAGAAAAGGCACCACTCAGCTGGCAGGAGGCAGTGAGATCTTCCAGATGCTTCCATGACAGGAAACGTGGCTGACTTCCAGGCTTGAAGGCTGCCCATGGCTGCAGGCATCCATCACCCTCTCCTTCCCCTTGCAAGTACGGATGAATGGGAGCTAAACACCAGAATCTGAAAAAGTGGCAGCAACTGTGTCAACACCCATGGCAGCTACACCTGCTCCTGTTGGCAGGATATGATCTCAACCGGAGGACCCGAAGTTGTGCAAAGGTCGAGGCCCCGGGAAGATGCATTGAGGCTGGACTGGAGGGAGCTGGGGAAGGAGCGATGCAGGTCCCTCAACTCTAAGGGGTAGGAAAATATTCTCCCTGCCAAGGCCCTGCCTAAGAATTCGCCTCCCTGAAAGGTCCTGTCACAGAGCAAGCGGTGGCAGGATCTTCTGGACCTGGAATTTCCTTCTGGAGCCCCTGTGAGCACCCCAACCCTTCCTTTCCTCATATTTCCATGGCGTGATGAAGGTGCTCCTTCCGATCCTCCTGAAGGCATCCCCTGGACTGGCAGGAAGTGATGACAATTCTCATGTGAGTTAGGCCAGGGGTGCGACTTCTGGTTCCCAGAAGAGGACCCAGAGCAGCCTTCAGGAGGGAGTAGGCAGGAGTTCTTGGTCAGGAAGTTCAACCCTCATAACTCCGTTTCCCTCCTGGATTTGCCACCTATAAATTAGAGACTATGGTCCCTGTCAGGTCTGTCTTATAGGGAGGCCATCACAGTGTGCTTAGAGGGTGAAATTGAAGGTCACCAGCTGATGGCATGTGTACTAATGGTGGGATCCTCAGGCAATGAGAAGTGGATGCGGGGAGGGCCTGATGCTCTGGCTTTATCCTCAGGCGTGAATGAATGTATCTCGGGGCATAAACCCTGCCACAGGCCTGGCTGGTGTGGTTCAGTGGTTGAATGTAGACCCATGAACCAAGAGGTCAGTGGTTTGATTCCTAGTCAGGGATCATGATCAGAGTGTGAGCAACATTCCTAGTAGGGGGTGGGCAGGTGGTTGCCAATCAGTGTTTCCATTTCTCTATTTCTCTGCCTTCCTCTATCCCTAAAATAAATAAAAACATATGTTTAAAATACACACGCACAAAGAACCAATAAGTGCCACAAAACGACCAACTGCCAAAATATTGTGGGCAGCTATGAATGCCAAGGCAGCCCTGGCTGGAAGCCGATTCCTGTGTCCCCCAATGACCCAAACAACACCTTGAAAATTGAGAGTTCAGATCCCATAAGCAAACCAAATCTTCTTTAAGTGGCTGAGCCATGTTAAAGGAAGCTGCCATAAGAAGCTTTGGCAGAGATGGGGCAGCACTGTCAGCAATGATGTGTGCCCAGGGCAGGCAGTGAGGAGAAGGGACTCGGGCTGGGCAGGACTGAGCATCAGATTCTGTTCTAAAAAGGACAGGACTGTAGCTTTGGGCTCACAAATGCCACAGCCCACAGCATAAGCGCATCGGAAGCTATCAGTGTGGCAGCCTCCCAGTCAGTAGTCCATCAAGGACCTCCCACAGTCCATCCTGCACAAAGCTGGGACTCACAGCTTTGGGATGGCACACACAATCACACACACACACACACACACACACACACACACACACACAGTCCTGCCCTGTCCACCTTGCAGGACTGCTCTGAGCACATGGAGCTTTTACAATGGAAAATCTCACAACAAGCATGAATACTGCCTGGCTAGGTGGGTATAAAGTAGTGGGTACTGATTGCATCCTCAGTATAACTTGAGAGAAAAGGCAGGAGTATTACGTTCAGGGAATGGATGGAGGACCTGACACTGTCTCTGGTTTTTCCTCAGATGTGGATGAATGCACCTCCTGGAAAAATGCCTGCCACCCATCCACCCAATGCCTCAACAATGTAGGCAGCTATGAGTGCCCCTGCCGCCCTGGCTGGAAGCCGGTTCCTGGGTCCCCCAATGGCCCAAACAACACCGTCTGTGAAGGTTTGAAGTTCAGATCCCATAAGTGAACCACATCCTCTTTACTTGGCTGAGCCATGTTAAAGGAAGCTGCCACAAGGAGCTTTGGCAGAGAAGGGGCAGCGCTTTCAGAAACGCTGTGTGCCCAGTGCAGGCAGTGAGGAGGGGGGACTGGGCCGGGCAGGGCTGAGCATCAGATTCTGTTCTAATAAAGACAGGAGTGAAGCTCTGTGCACAGCAGTGCCACAGCCCACAAACCACCGATTCAGTGCATGGGGAGCTGTCAGTGTGGTCGCCTCCCTAGTTAGAAGTCCATCACAGAACCTCCTGCAGTGCACCTCTCCCCATAGTCAGGGGACACAGCTTTGGGATGACACTTGCACACAAACAGTCCTGCCTTGTGCACCTTGCAGGGACATTCTAAGCTTAATTTGCTTTCATGGTGGAAAATGTCACCACAAATATGTGTATGTTGGGTTAGGTGGCTTGTAGGCACAGTTTAATGGGGTGTCCAGGGTGTAATTAGAAAGAACCAGCAAGAGGTTTTATGAGCAGGGAGAGCAGGGAGTGCCTGACACTCTCTTTTTATCCTCAGATGTGAATGAATGTACTTCAGGGCAACACTCCTGCCACCAAACCACCCAATGCTTCAACACCGAGGGCAGCTATGAATGCCGCTGCCATCATGGCTGGAAACCGGGTCCTGGGTATTCCAATGGCGCACACAACAACAACTGTCAAGGTTAGGAGTTCAAATCCCATAAGTGAACGACACCTTTTCTGATGTGAAGAAGCTGAGCCATGTTAAAGGAAGCTTCCATAAAGTGCTTTGGTAGAAAAGGGGCAGCACTTTTTTTTTTTTTTTTTTTTTTTTTACACAGAGGAAGGGAGAGAGACAGAGAGTTAGAAACATCGATGAGAGAGAGTTCGAACAGCTGCCTCTTGCACACCCCCTACTGGGGATATGTCCGCAGACCAACGCTCTATCCATTGAGCCAAACCGGTTTAGGCAAAGGGGGGAGGGGCAGCAATTTTAGAAAGGTTGTGTGCCCAGGACAGGCAGTGAGGAGGGGGGAAATGGACCGGTTTGGCCTGAGCATCAGTTTCTGTTCTAACAAGGGGATGATTGCAGCTCTGAGCACAGTGATGCTGCAGCCCACAGCCTCAGCACTGCGAACTCTCACAGTGGAAGGCTCCCTGGTTAGAAGTCCATCACAGGTCCTCCCCAGTCCATTCATTCTATAACGGGTGACACAGCTTTGGGATGTCACTGGCACGCACGCACACACACACACACACACACATACTCACAGTCCTGCCCTATCCTTCTTGCAGGGATGCTCTGAGCTTTTATGGTGCTTCTACTGTTGAAAATATCACAACAATGTTGAGTACAGTTTGACCTGGTGGTTGTAAGCAGGGTGTAGTGGCGGTGTCCTCAGTGTACTTTGAGAGAAAGGGAAGAAGGGCTGTGTACAGAGTGGAGGGAGAGCCTGAAATTCTCTCTGGTTTTTCCTCAGATGTGGATGAATGCACCTCTGGGCAGAATGCCTGCCACCAATCCACCCAATGTCTCAACACTGAGGGCAGCTATGAGTGCCACTGTCGCCCTGGCTGGAAGCCAGTTCCTGGGTCCCCCAATGGCCCAAACAACACTGTCTGTGAAGGTTCGGAGTTCAGATCCCATAAGTGAACCACATCCTCTTTACTTGGTTGAGCCATGTTAAGGGAAGCTGCCGCAAGGAGCTTTGGCAGAGAAGGGGCAGCACTTTCAGAAACGCTGTGTGCCCAGTGCAGGCGGTGAGGAGGGCGGACTGGGCCGGCAGGACTGAGCATCAGATCTTGTATAATAAGGGCACAAGGGAAGATCTGGGAACAGCAGTGCCACAGTTCATAAACCACCGCTTCAGTGCATGGGGAGCTATCAGTGTGGCCGCCTTGCTGGTTACATGTCCATCACAGAACCTCCGCAGTCCACACCCCTCCCTACCTCAGAGTCAGGGGACACAACTTTGGGATGACACTTGCACACAAATAGACCTGTCTTGTGCACCTTGCAGGGGTGTTCTAAGCTTAATATGCTTTTATGGTGGAAAATATCACCACAAATATGTATATCTTGGGCTAGGTGGCTTGTAGGCACAGTTTAGTGGGGTGTCCAGGTGTAATTAGAAAGAACCAGCAAGAGGTTTTATGAGCAGGGAGAGCAGGGAGTGCCTGACACTCTCTCTGGTTTGTCCTCAGATGTGAATGAATGTACTTCAGGGCAACACTCCTGCCACCAAACCACCCAATGCTTCAACACCGAGGGCAGCTATGAGTGCCGCTGCCATCATGGCTGGAAACCGGGTCCTGGGTATTCCAATGGCACACACAGCAACAACTGTCAAGGTTAGGAGTTCAAATCCCATAAGTGAACCACATCTTCTATGATGTGAAGAAGCTGAGCCATGTTAAAGGAAGCTTCTATAAGGTGCTTTGGTAGAGAAGGGGCAGCACTTTTAGAAAGGTTGTGTGCCCAGGACAGGCAGTGAGGAGGGGGGAAATGGACCGTTTTGGCCTGAGCATCAGTTTCTGTTCTAATAAGGGGATGATTGCAGCTCTGAGCACAGTGATGCTGCAGCCCACAGCCTCAGCACTGGGAGCTCTCACAGTGGAAGGCTCCCTGGTTAGAAGTCCATCACAGGTCCTCCCCAGTCCATCCCACTCTATAAGGGGTGACACAGCTTTGGGATGTCACTGGCACACACACACACACACACACAAACACTCATAGTCCTGCCCTATCCTTCTTGCAGGGATGCTCTGAGCTTTTATGGTGCTTCTACTGTTGAAAATATCACAACAATGTTGAGTACAGTTTGACCTGGTGGTTGTAAGCAGGGTGTAGTGGCGGTGTCATCAGTGTACTTTGAGAGAAAGGGAAGAAGGACTGTGTGCAGAGTGGAGGGAGGGCCTGAAATTCTCTCTGGTTTTTCCTCAGATGTGGATGAATGCACCTCCGGGCAGAACACCTGCCACCCATCCACCCAATGCCACAACACCGTGGGCAGCTATGAGTGCCGCTGCCGCCCTGGCTGGAAGCCGGTTCCTGGGTCCCCCAATGGCCCAAACAACACCGTCTGTGAAGGTTCGGAGTTCAGATCCCATAAGTGAACCACATCCTCTTTACTTGGTTGAGCCATGTTAAGGGAAGCTGCCGCAAGGAGCTTTGGCAGAGAAGGGGCAGCACTTTCAGAAAGGCTATGTGCCCAGTGCAGGCAGTGAGGAGGGGGGACTGGGCCGGGCAGGGCTGAGCATCAGATTCTGTTAAAATAAGGGCAGGAGAGAAGCTCTGCGGACAGCAGTGCCACAGCCCACAAACCACTGCTTCAGTGCATGTGTAGCTATTAGTGTGGCTGCCTCCCTGGTTAGAAGTCCATCACAGAACCTCCCACAGTCCACCCTGCACCATAGTCAGGGGACACAGCTTTGGGATGACACTTGCACACAAACAGTCCTGCCTTTTGCACCTTGCAGGGACATTCTTAAGCTTCATATGCTTTTATAATGAAAAATGTCACCACAAATATGTATATATTGGGCTAGGTGGCTTGTAGGCACAGGTTAGTGGGGTGTCCAGGGAAAATTAGGGAGAACTGGCAGGAGGCTTTATGTACAGGAAGTGCAGGGAGGGCCTGACACTCTCTCTGGTTTCTCCTCAGATGTCGATGAATGTACTTCGCGGCAACACTCCTGCCAACAAACCACCCAATGTGTCAACACGGAGGGCAGCTATGAGTGCCGCTGCCGCCCTGGCTGGAAGCCGGGTCCTGGGTTTTCCAATGGTGCACACAACAACTACTGTCAAGGTTAGGAGTTCAAATTGCATAAAGGAACCACTTCTTGTTTACTTGGCTGAGCCATGCTAAAGGAAACTGCCATAAGGCCCTTTGGCAGAAAAGGGGCAGCACTTCCAACAATGGTGTGTGCCCAGGGCAGGCAGTGAGGACAGGGCACCTGGGACAGGAAGGGCTCAGCTCAGATTCTGTTCTAATAAGGGGTTGATTACAGCCCTGAACACAGCAATACCACAGTCCACAGCCTCAGCACTTGGGAGCCCTCAGAGTGGCAGGATCCCTGGTTAGAAATCCATCACTGGTCCTCCCCATTCCATCCTGTTCTACAGGGGGATACATAGCTTTGTGATGTCACTGGCACACACACACACACACACACACACACACAATACAGCCATATACTCCTTACATGGCTGCTCTGAGCTTATGGTGCTTCTACTGTTGAAATTATCACAAAAATTTTTTTAATATATTTTATTGATTTTGTACAGAGGAGAAAGGAGGAGAGATAGAGAGTTAGAAACATTGATGAGAGAGAGTCATCAATCAGTTGCCTCTTGCATACCCCGTAGTGGGGACATGCCCGCAACCAAGGTACATGTGCTTGACCGGAATCGAACCCGGGACCTTTCAGTCCCAGGCCGACACTCTATCCATTGAACCAAACGGATTTCGGCTCACAACAATGTTGTATACAGTTGGACCTGGTGGTTGAAAGCAGGGTATAGCGGGGGTGTCCTCAATGTACAATAATTTGAGAGAAGGGAAAGAGGGCTGTGTGCAGAGTTGGGGGAAGGCCTGAAACTCTCTGTGGTTTGACCTCAGATGTGGATGAATGCACCTCCAGGCAGAACGCCTGCCACCCATCCGCCCAATGCCTCAACACCCAGGGCAGCTATGAGTGCCACTGCCCCCCTGGCTGGAAGCCACTTCCTGGGTCCCCAGATGGCCCAAACAACACCGTCTGTGAAGGTAAATAGTTTAGATCTCATAAGTGAACGACATCTTCCTTACTTGGATGAGCCATTGGAAAGGAAGCTGCCATAAGTAGCTTTGGCAAAGAAGAGGCAGCACTTTCAGAAATGCTGTGGGCCCAGTGCAGGCAGTGAGGAGGGCGGACTGGGGCAGGCAGGGCTGATCATCAGATCTTGTATAATGAGGGCACAAGGGAAGATCTGGGAACAGCGGTGCCACAGTTCATAAACCACCGCTTCAGTGCATGGGGAGCTATCAGTGTGGCCGCTTTCCTGGTTACATGTCCATCACAGAACCTCCGCAGTCCACACCCCCATCCCCCGAAGTCAGGGGACACAGATTTGTGATGACACTTGCACACAAATAGACCTGTCTTGTGCACCCTGCATTAGTGTTCTAAGCTTAATATGCTTTTATGGTGGAAAATGTCACCACAAATATGTATATCTTGGGCTAGGTGGCTTGTAGGCACAGTTTAGTGGGGTGTCCAGGGTATAATTAGAAAGAACCAGCAGGAGGTTTTATGCACAGGGAGAGCAGGGAGGGCCTGACACTCTCTCTGGTTTGTCCTCAGATGTGAATGAATGTACTTCAGGGCAACACTCTTGCCACCAAACCACCCAATGCTTCAACACCGAGGGCAGCTATGAGTGCCGCTGCCATCATGGCTGGAAACCGGGTCCTGGGTATTCCAATGGTGCACACAACAACAACTGTCAAGGTTAGGAATTCAAATCCCATAAGTGAACCACATCTTTTCTGATGTGAAGAAGCTGAGCCATGTTAAAGGAAGCTTCCATAAGGTGCTTTGGTAGAGAAGGGGCAGCACTTTTAGAAAGGTTGTGTGCCCAGGACAGGCAGTGAGGAGGGGGGAAATGGACCGGTTTGGCCTGAGCATCAGTTTCTGTTCTAATAAGGGGATGATTGCAGCTCTGAGCACAGTGATGCTGCAGCCCACAGCCTCAGCACTGGGAGCTCTCACAGTGGAAGGCTCCCTGGTTAGAAGTCCATCACAGGTCCTCCCCAGTCCATCCCACTCTATAAGGGGTGACACAGCTTTGGGATGTCACTGGCACACACACACACACACACACACACACACACACACTCACAGTCCTGCCCTATCCTTCTTGCAGGGATGCTCTGAGCTTTTTTGGTGCTTCTACTGTTGAAAATATCACAACAATGTTGAGTACAGTTTGACCTGGTGGTTGTAAGCAGGGTGTAGTGGGGGTGTCCTCAGTGTACTTTGAGAGAAAGGGAAGAAGGGCTGTGTGCAGAGTGGAGGGAGAGCCTGAAATTCTCTCTGGTTTTTCCTCAGATGTGGATGAATGCACCTCTAGGCAGAACGCCTGCCACCAATCAGCCCAATGTCTCAACACTGAGGGCAGCTATGAGTGCCACTGTCGCCCTGGCTGGAAGCCGGTTCCTGGGTCCCCCAATGGCCCAAACAACACTCTCTGTGAAGGTTCGGAGTTCAGATCCCATCAGGGAACCACATCTTCTTTAGTTGACTGAGCCATGTTAAAGAAAGGTGTCCTTAAGCAGCTTTGGCAGAGAAGGGGAAGTACTTCCAACAATGGTGTGTATCCAGGCCAGGCAATGAGGACAGTGGACCTGGGACAGGAAGGACTCAGCTCACATTCTGTTCTAATAAGGGGATGACTGCACCTCTGAGCACAGCCATCCCACAGCCCACAGCCACAGCATATGACAGCTCTCAGAGTGGCAGCCTCCCTGGTTAGAGGTGCATCAGAGGTTCTCCACCAGTTCAACCTGCTCTACTGGGAGGGACACAGCTTTGGGAAGTCATCACTGGTGGGAGCATGCGTGCACACACACACACACACACACACACACAGTCTTGCCCTATCCTCCCTGCATGGGTGCTCTGAGCTTATGGTGCTTCTACTGTTGAAATTATCACAACAATGTTGAATACAGTTGGACCTAGTGGTTTCAAGCAGGTGTAGTGGGGGTGTGCTCAGTGTACTTAGAGAGAAGGGGAAGGGGGTGTTTGTTGAGTGGAGGGAAGACATGAAACACTCTCTGGTTTGTCCTCAGATATGGATGAATGCACCTCCAGGCAGGATGCCTGCCACCCATCCACCCAATGTCTCAACAATGTAGGCAGCTATGAGTGCCGCTGCCGCCCTGGCTGGAAGCCAGTTCCTGGGTCCCCCAATGGCCCAAACAACACCGTCTGTGAAGGTTCGGAGTTCAGATCCCATAAGTGAACCACATCCTCTTTACTTGGTTGAGCCATGTTAAGGGAAGCTGCCACAAGGAGCTTTGGCAGAGAATGGGCAGCACTTTCAGAAACGCTGTGTACCCAGTGCAGGCAGTGAGGAGGGGGGACTGGGCTGGGCAGGGCTGAGCATCAGATTCTGTTAAAATAAGGGCAGGAGAGAAGCTCTGCGGACAGCAGTGCCACAGCCCACAAACCACTGCTTCAGTGCATGGGGTGCTGTCAGTGTGGCCACGTCCCTGGTTAGAAGTCCATCACAGAACCTCCCACAGTCCACCCTGCACCATAGTCAGGGGACACAGCTTTGGGATGACACTTGCACACAAACTGTCCTGCCTTTTGCACCTTGCAGGGACATTCTTAAGCTTCATATGCTTTTATAATGGAAAATGTCACCACAAATATGTATATGTTGGGCTAGGTGGCTTGTAGGCACAGGTTAGTTGGGTGTCCAGGGAAAATTAGGGAGAACTGGCAGGAGGCTTTATGTACAGGGAGAGCAGGGAGGCCTGACACTTTCCCTGATTTCTCCTCAGATGTCGATGAATGTACTTCGCGGCAACACTCCTGCCAACAAACCACCCAATGTATCAACACGGAGGGCAGCTATGAGTGCCGCTGCCGCCCTGGCTTGAAGCCGGGTCCTGGGTTTTCCAATGGTGCACACAACAACTACTGTCAAGGTTAGGAGTTCAAATTGCATAAAGGAACCACTTCTTGTTTACTTGGCTGAGCCATGCTAAAGGAAACTGCCATAAGGCCCTTTGGCAGAAAAGGGGCAGCACTTCCAACAATGGTGTGTGCCCAGGGCAGGCAGTGAGGACAGGGCACCTGGGACAGGAAGGGCTCAGCTCAGATTCTGTTCTAATAAGGGGTTGATTACAGCCCTGAACACAGCAATACCACAGTCCACAGCCTCAGCACTTGGGAGCCCTCAGAGTGGCAGGATCCCTGGTTAGAAATCCATCACTGGTCCTCCCCATTCCATCCTGTTCTACAGGGGGATACATAGCTTTGTGATGTCACTGGCACACACACACACACACACAATAAGCCATATACTCCTTACATGGCTGCTCTGAGCTTATTGGTGCTTCTACTGTTGAAATTATCACAAAAATTTTTTAAATATATTTTATTGATTTTGTACAGAGAGGAAGGGAGGAGAGATAGAGAGTTAGAAACATTGATGAGAGAGAGTCATCAATCAGTTGCCTCTTGCATACCCCGTAGTGGGGACATGCCCGCAACCAAGGTACATGTGCTTGACCGGAATCGAACCCGGGACCTTTCAGTCCCAGGTCGACACTCTATCCATTGAGCCAAACGGATTTCGGCTCACAACAATGTTGTATACAGTTGGACCTGGTGGTTGAAAGCAGGGTATAGCGGGGGTGTCCTCAATGTACAATAATTTGAGAGAAGGGAAAGAGGGCTGTGTGCAGAGTAGGGGGAAGGCCTGAAACTCTCTGTGGTTTGACCTCAGATGTGGATGAATGCACCTCCAGGCAGAACGCCTGCCACCCATCCGCCCAATGCCTCAACACCCAGGGCAGCTATGAGTGCCACTGCCCCCCTGGCTGGAAGCCACTTCCTGGGTCCCCAGATGGCCCAAACAACACCGTCTGTGAAGGTAAATAGTTTAGATCTCATAAGTGAACGACATCTTCCTTACTTGGATGAGCCATCGGAAAGGAAGCTGCCATAAGTAGCTTTGGCAAAGAAGAGGCAGCACTTTCAGAAATGCTGTGGGCCCAGTGCAGGCAGTGAGGAGGGCGGACTGGGGCAGGCAGGGCTGATCATCAGATCTTGTATAATAAGGGCACAAGGGAAGATCTGGGAACAGCGGTGCCACAGTTCATAAACCACCGCTTCAGTGCATGGGGAGCTATCAGTGTGGCCGCTTTCCTGGTTACATGTCCATCACAGAACCTCCGCAGTCCACACCCCCATCCCCCGAAGTCAGGGGACACAAATTTGTGATGACACTTGCACACAAATAGACCTGTCTTGTGCACCCTGCATTAGTGTTCTAAGCTTAATATGCTTTTATGGTGGAAAATGTCACCACAAGTATGTATATCTTGGGCTAGGTGGCTTGTAGGCACAGTTTAGTGGGGTGTCCAGGGTATAATTAGAAAGAACCAGCAGGAGGTTTTATGCACAGGGAGAGCAGGGAGGGCCTGACACTCTCTCTGGTTTGTCCTCAGATGTGAATGAATGTACTTCAGGGCAACACTCTTGCCACCAAACCACCCAATGCTTCAACACCGAGGGCAGCTATGAGTGCCGCTGCCATCATGGCTGGAAACCGGGTCCTGGGTATTCCAATGGCGCACACAACAACAACTGTCAAGGTTAGGAATTCACATCCCATAAGTGAACCACATCTTTTCTGATGTGAAGAAGCTGAGCCATGTTAAAGGAAGCTTCCATAAGGTGCTTTGGTAGAGAAGGGGCAGCACTTTTAGAAAGGTTGTGTGCCCAGGACAGGCAGTGAGGTGGGGGGAAATGGACCGGTTTGGCCTGAGCATCAGTTTCTGTTCTAATAAGGGGGTGATTGCAGCTCTGAGCACAGTGATGCTGCAGCCCACAGCCTCAGCACTGGGAGCTCTCACAGTGGAAGGCTCCCTGGTTAGAAGTCCATCACACGTCCTCCCCAGTCCATCCCACACTATAAGGGGTGACACAGCTTTGGGATGTCACTGGCACACACACACACACACACACACACACACACACACTCACAGTCCTGCCCTATCCTTCTTGCAGGGATGCTCTGAGCTTTTATGGTGCTTCTACTGTTGAAAATATCACAACAATGTTGAGTACAGTTTGACCTGGTGGTTGTAAGCAGGGTGTAGTGGGGGTGTCCTCAGTGTACTTTGAGAGAAAGGGAAGAAGGGCTGTGTGCAGAGTGGAAGGAGAGCCTGAAATTCTCTCTGGTTTTTCCTCAGATGTGGATGAATGCACCTCTGGGCAGAACGCCTGCCACCAATCAGCCCAATGTCTCAACACTGAGGGCAGCTATGAGTGCCACTGTCGCCCTGGCTGGAAGCCGGTTCCAGGGTCCCCCAATGGCCCAAACAACACTGTCTGTGAAGGTTCGGAGTTCAGATCCCATCAGGGAACCACATCTTCTTTAGTTGACTGAGCCATGTTAAGGGAAGCTGCCACAAGGAGCTTTGGCAGAGAATGGGCAGCACTTTCAGAAACGCTGTGTACCCAGTGCAGGCAGTGAGGAGGGGGGACTGGGCCGGGCAGGGCTGAGCATCAGATTCTATTATATTAAGGGCAGGAGTGAAGCTCTGCGGACAGCAGTGCCACAGCCCACAAACCACTGCTTCAGTGCATGGGGTGCTGTCAGTGTGGCCACGTCCCTGGTTAGAAGTCCATCACAGAACCTCCCACAGTCCACCCTGCACCATAGTCAGGGGACACAGCTTTGGGATGACACTTGCACACAAACAGTCCTGCCTTTTGCACCTTGCAGGGACATTCTTAAGCTTCATATGCTTTTATAATGAAAAATGTCACCACAAATATGTATATGTTGGGCTAGGTGGCTTGTAGGCACAGATTAGTTGGGTGTCCAGGGAAAATTAGGGAGAACTGGCAGGAGGCTTTATGTACAGGGAGAGCAGGGAGGGCCTGACACTCTCTCTGATCTCTCCTCAGATGTCGATGAATGTACTTCGCGGCAACACTCCTGCCAACAAACCACCCAATGTGTCAACACGGAGGGCAGCTATGAGTGCCGCTGCCGCCCTGGCTTGAAGCCGGGTCCTGGGTTTTCCAATGGTGCACACAACAACTACTGTCAAGGTTAGG